AAAAAAAAAAAAAAAAAAAAAAAAAAAAAAAAAAAAAAAAAAAAATCACGTGAATATTAATAATTAAAGATCGCATCGTGAACATTATTCACATTGTCGTGATTCTTATTCTGTGTACTTTCTTTTACATCATGTTATTCTGCAACGATTAGAGCCCTCCTTATTCGATTTTGAAATATTTTCAATCGTAACCTTCACAATCTTAATCCATCTCTACAGGTGAATGTAGATACAATTGTTCTTCCAGGCACAAAATGTTCAATCATAGTCAAAACGTAATAAAACTGCGACACAGTAAACTTAATTCATTATCACATAATTAAATATTAATGTACGTTTTATATAAATATTGTCCAATATATCTTGGACCTGAAACAAAATCTGCAAAATTCATTTGAGAGAAAACAACGAAAGATGATAGACAAAATAAAATAAAAAATATTAAAATTAAGAGTCCACGATGTCAATTGTCGTAAAATGATTTTGTTCAATTAATTTTCGACCGTCGTATAGAGAAAACAAATATAAACGGATTAAAATAATTTCTTTCACTGATCGCACCGAATGAACTACAGAGATCTGAGGTTGAAAAACAATTAACCTCGCTTGATTTAATGCCTGTTTGTTTGCCAATACTACGCATTTTCTCCTAATCTTATAAGACAAGGACATGATTGTGAAATATACGAGAATCATTTTATTGTCACCCTTCTGCGTTAGTTTTTAAGTCATAAATCATTCGCGGGAAAGAAAGTGTGCGCAACGAATGAACGAAACAACGAATTCTTCAAAATTTTTGCTATTAAAATTTTAGAAAATATATACGAGATGCCAAATATATGTACATCATGTTCCATCAAAATGATTCCATCAATGTCCGATTCGAATCACTCAAATTTTATTTTGATATGTTGAAAGTTACGATTCCATCTTCGGTGTTCGTTTATTCGATGTGTATCACTTCAGAAAGAAGCGTGACAACTATAACAATACTGTCTGCAGTGAAACGATTGAATTATCTGCGGCTATTCTAGCAAATATATAGAATATAATGAAGTATTGCATTCTCGCTTCGATAAAATTATTTATCGGGATGGGTTCTCTCTGAACAAATATTTAAAAAAAAAAGAAAAAAAAAAGAAACATCGCTCCTGTGCAAAATATACTAATGTTAAAATCGAAGATTATCTTTATTTTGTTTTACATCCTCATAATCAACGTAGAAAATAAGTTCGTGCATCGGCTTGAAACGGAAAATCTTTTTCTTTTTTTTTTTTCGCAGTACAGAAAGAGAGAACAAAATATTGCCGTTTCGCGGTAAATTTACGATGCTGCATTATGTGCTGACTATGATTCATATTTTAACTTGGGTATATCTAATCTGTGACTCCCGACAATTTGGAGTTTCGAGCACATATATCATCACTAGTTTCTCCGTCTTTGACCGTATTTACTCGAGCTTATCTAAATCATTACGTAGCTAAGACCATTTTGCCGTACAATTCGCAAAAGTTACAAGCATGGCAAAGTTGCGACACGAAGTGGTGATAAATGAACTATAAAATTAATTGCACGTGAGTCACGGCTTAGACAGCTCTATTTCTAATCCCGAAAAACCGAAAACGAGAATAGGAAATCCAGCATAAAGTTTCTAATCTAATCGAAAATACTGTAACAGGTATTACTATCATATAAAAGAAAAAATATGTAATTGCGTACCTTTATTTTACGAGTTAATTAGTAAAACAAAGAAATATCCCCAATTCCAGATTCCGTATGAATCGAATGGCAAATTTATTGGTAATCACGTAGACTGTCTTGAAACTTCTGTGAATACATAATAAATCAATTTCATGTAAAAAGAATTATTTTGGACACTCTTAAACCGCTTGTATCCTTTTTGCAATTATAAAATCTTTTAAAATTATTCCCAAAAGAGAGAGGGTGTTGTTCGAAAATAACTCATGGGAGCCCATGAAAGTGTCTCTTTCCGAGAAACTTTGAATTAAGTTTTGAATATGTTGCTTTCTAGACAAAAGTAAATATGTACTTTTTAATAAATTTTTTTATAAATTACTTTTTATATATTAATTTTTTATAAAGTACTTTTCAGTTTTCTAGTATTCAAATTTTATTTGAACTTTCAATATTTTTTTCTATCTCTTAGTTTCAACAAGGGATGCACTGGATATCCGAAAAGTATCCGATATCTGATATTATCTGGCACTTTTTTACTATTTGATCGAATCTGGGAATATATCTCGGTTGAAATTTTATATTATTAAGTTGTTGATTTTTTATTATATATATATAAATGTTCTCTAAATAAGTATGCATACTCATAATACTATATTATATATTGCAAAATTATCATTTTTTTCTCTAGTTATCATTTCTATGATACAATTCTTTTTGCTCCCTTTTTTTTTGTTTCATTGAGTTTTTTTTTTACGTTTCGGAATCCGGTCAGATATTCGAAAAATATCAGATATTCAACTCGAAAAATTGTCTTCCCGGATATCCGACGTTACATTCTTTTCAAATATCCGATATCCGGTAATTTTACGATCTCTAGTTTTAACGATATTCGTTTTGAAAGAAAAAAAAAATCGATTTTCTTCAAAAGAATGTTGCTCTTTCTCCCTTACAAAAAAATATATATACCTTATTTTTTTCTTGACATAAATATTTAAAGCTCATCAAAATCGAAGGGAAACACTTCCATGAGTTTCCTTGTCAGCGACGAGTTTGCAAAAAAATAAGTAAAAGGAAACATTTGTGTTTGAAACTGCGTAACAATTGTAGAAGTATTCTCGGGAAAATATCCAAATAATAACTTTGAAAGTGAGATTAAAAGTGGTATAGCACACAAGTCACCAATCATGAATGTGTGAAGCTATCAATATAATCTATTCGTTTGGTGATCATTGATACTTAAAAGTAGCGACAGTGCGGGATCGCTTTAACAAGTGGGGATATAAAAATTAATGTATATATATATATATTTATATGTATATATAATCTAGCTTTGCTACTTGTTACAAACTAGCAACTATTTATCAGTTATAATATATTCATATCGTTCGCGGCTTCTTAAAATTATAAAACGGTTTAGTTTGCCCGTCAATATTCACTATTATTATTGCAGCCCCAACGAGTTACATAGGTATGCCGCATTATTCCGCAGTTTTTCATCATGATCGTTGTCATCATCGTCAGTGATGCGATGCTTTCTGATCTCGAATGACTGGACGGAAGAGAGCTCGCACAAATCGCGATGTCGTTCCGTTCCACACTATCCGCAAGTACAAAATTTCCCGGGGCGTTGTACAGAATTCTCGTTAACATGCTCACTAGCGCGTATATCATTTATCAGATAAATAATTTATGCGATCGAAATTAAACAGATACTTCAAATCTTATTGATATTTTAAACATTGAGAAACACACAATCCAGCCTCATGATGATGTTGAGAAGAATCGAAAGGGCCGAGGTTTGGGCATTTTTCATAATATAATTTAAATTTGTTAAAAAAAAGAGTAAAATATTCGATACCTTATACTTGCGCTTTTCATTACCGAAACACACGCTGTTGCAATCCTCCGTTGTTACAATCATTCGAAAGTACACTTTGTCGGGCTAATCGCAAAATTTGTCGGAACTATTGCACAATGCCATTCATGAAATCATGGCAAGACGTATAGCAATTTTGTTCTCGTGGACAAATTAACGATTATTATACATGTATGAAAGAATGATACGTTTACAATTACATTTTCCGTTTTATTTTAGAAAACTAATATATACGAAATGTATGCCGCGATACGGTTTAATTGTTTTTTCCACCTTTCCGAATGGCAAAATATAAAGGTAGACATATTTCTCTATTACTTCACAAAAAGACTTCGTTGATGTTGGCGGTTGAAAATCGTCCAATTGTATATTATGAATTAAATTTCCGAGGATACATTCCCCGAAATTTATCACTCGCACAAACTTCACGCAGAGTCTCTCCGTCCATATTTTTTTTCGTTTTTTTTTTCCTTGAAATCTTTATCCATATCTAAATTCAATCTATCGACAGTCACCAAATATTCTTCCACAAAATCTGAGTGGCTGCACATACACAAAAAAAAGAGCTGCGCTGTTCACAGTCACTCGTGCAGAATTCACTTGACTTTTTCAGCGTAAAATCCATTACTTTTTATATTATATATCCATGGATTTTGCCGTTCTCGAGATTAATATAAAAAAAAAAAGGTTAAAAAAGTTAACCTCTTTACCAACTCCTGAAAGGTATTCTCTAGCTGAATCATTTAGGCTCTGGGAAGGCCACCTGACACTTGTAGACCTCGTCGAGTATAACTTGGCCTTGTCCTTGGCTGACAGTGACAGGAGTAGTCGCATTCACGACCACAACCTGGCCTTGCTGCGCCTGCTGTGGCTGTTGCTGCTGCTGCGACTGTTGCTGCTGATTACTCGCATTGGCCTGTTGTGCGTTTGCTGGGTTATTTGCATTCTGGTTTCGTGCCGTTTGGCCGTACTTCTCGTGGATCGCACGGTGACGCTTCAGCGCAAAACGATCGGAAAAGCCAATCTCGCATATATCGCACCTAAAAATACAAAGGAGATTCATGTATGCAGAATAAATACGCACTTCGACAACTGGATCTTTGGGTGTTGAAGTTACCTATGCGGTTTTTCACCGGTATGGACTTTTGCATGGTTCTTGAGATGTGTGGCTTGATTGAAGGCGGAACCGCAGATATTACACCTATATGGCTTCTCGCCGGTGTGAATTCTTCTATGATTCCAGAGCGTTGAATGTCTGGCAAACGTTTTTTCGCAAACCTCGCATTGATAGGGTCGCTCACCGGAATGAATTCGTTCGTGATTCTTCAAGTGTGGACTTTGCGAAAATTGCATGCCGCAAACGTTGCACTTGAACGGTTTTTCACCGGTATGAACTCTTCCATGATTCTTTAAATAAGCAGCTATAAAGGGAAAGAAATCAAAATTTATACTGAAAAATAAGCTTATATAATCTTTAGTTAGCCAGTATGCGTAGAAAAGATCATATATCATTATCTTATACTTCATTATTTAATTAATTTAATCGTTTACTTACCCTTAGCAAAGGCTAAGCCGCAGACTTCACATTTGAATGGTTTGTCTCCTGAATGAAGTCTTTTATGGGACCAGAGTGAAGAATATCGAGAAAATGTACCATCACAAACGTTACAATGAAATGGTTTCTCCGCTTGATTTTGACTGTTTTGCTTGCCACCTGAAATTGAAAGCATAAACAAAGCTTTAGTTGTCCTCGAAGGGCCAGTTCTACAAAAGTGATAAGCTCGAAGTTGTTCCGCGAGGAATCTATGAATCTATGCGATATAAGTTCGTGATACTAATGTTTAAATTTTTGTTCTTATATCCAAGAAATGAAATATGAATGGACATAGAATATGAAATTACAAAATGAATGATTAAATGTAAAGATTATTGTATGAAACAATCTGATCATGCAAGTTGTTATAAAAGTTAGTGCACTAAGAAAATCTGAACGCCACAAGCAATATGAAATTTTGCGGTTTTATTATTACGCAATTTACTCTATGAAAAATGATGAAATCATCTTCAATGAGCTATATCGCGAAATAAATTGAAAGAATTATAAACAGCCGAACGGAAATTTAATAAGTTCATCTTATATACAGAAAACATTAAAATTTGACGATTTTATAATTTATAAAACTGTCCCTTAGGGGAGATTTTTATTCTGTGTCATTGTTCTTAAATTTAGATGTCGACAGTTCTACTAACAAGGGAAAGAAAATAACAGCAAAATAAAATAATCACAATCACTTTGTAAGAATTGAGATAGCAAGAATATTAAATAATAGAACGAACAAAATAAGAAAGATAACAGAAATGTATATTCCACCTACAAGAACACATGCAAGCAAAAGTAAAATGACGTTAAATAAAAACAATATCAAAAATCCAACGGTTAAAGGTATTAATTTAAATTTATTGATAAACATTCGATGTATTTATTAAATTACTCAAAATTTCGATGAATATTTTTAATAAATACGTTTTAGAAGATTTGATAAATTGAATTTAAACATCGAATTTTTAGGAAGTCTATGAAACTATGTAATAATCAAAGAAGTTATAATTTCAATATATTTTTTATAATATAATTCAATATTCTATACAAATTATGTATTGGCGCGTTGTTGACTCAAACATCAATAAAACTGCAAATACCAAAGTGATTACGGAAAATAAATTTGAACTGTCACCATCCAAGACAGACGCGATATTACTCAGACATACTAATCGCAAAACAGATCTCATACTCTGTGTTGACGATAATTATATCCGACTTACTTCCTATGACGATGCGGCCTGTAGCCTTGCAGCCGCCACACTTTGCGAGGGAACTGATTCCGGAATCTAGTTTTTCGTCGTGTTTACCTACCATATATCACCCGATGTACGATCATGATAGCAATGAAAAGTATGAAGGGAAAAAGAATGACGAAATATCTGAATAAAATGTCGCTGATATTGATCTACAGTACGCAATCCCTTGTGAGAACATTTATATCAACATAAAATTTGAAACGTAAACTTTGGACGTTTTTAAAACGCTTTATCAGCAACATCTTTCTTCGGCTTATCAAGGGTATTAAGTGACATCCAATCAGCGGCCGAAAGCTAATAAATGATGCTTACCTATAAAAATAATCCCCGTGCCGTTGCACTTGTGACATTTGGTGACACTGGTAACACCCCTTCGTTTCACAGGATGATGACCAGGTTTGATAGCTACAAAAATATGCATGTTTTGTTACAGCTAAAAATCCGTGAATAATCTTACCATCAATCTGAACTTAAATAATCAATTTTAATAATAAAAATAGCGATTTTATTAATAAAAACAGAGTTAGCAAAAGATGTTTTTTTAAAAGCATGTTTTAATGCTTCATACATGCTTCAAACAATATTATAAAAAAACAAATTTTACCAACCCTGGATAAAAATAGCGATCATGATTTCTTATACATCGTATAAGGATTACAGTACATAATATTTTGTACAAGAATCTACAGTTTCCAATGTAATAATTTTGAAAATTTTTAATGCTGCAAGATAATTGTACTTTTTTGCATTAATACTGAAATTAATATCACCATGAGATTGACACTGGTTATAGCTGAAATTAATCGATATAAACATACTCTTTTTAACTTTAGTTGGATGATGTTCGCATGGGTCCTCACTGCCACAATCTTCACAAATTTGCACCTTTGGTTTCTGATGCATATTTGTTTTGTGACTTTTTAATTCTCCCGGTAATGCAAAACACGCTCCACAAACGTCACAAGTGTACGGTCTTTCTGGTGTAGTGGCGACAGTCACTGTTGTCGGCGTTTGTACCACAATCTGTTGCGGCTGTTGCTGCAAATTGCTGGGTGTTGAGGTGTGAATCCGCTTATGATGCTGCAGCAGGCTCATGTGACCAAAGACCAAGCCACAAATCTCACACTTGAACGTTGCATTTGCAGTCGCAGCGGCAATACTCATCTGGTTTAGCAATGTATTATAACCGACAGGTTGAACATCGAAACGGTAACAACCCTTGTCATCGGTGATTGCACTGATTGTGCTCACCGCATTTGTCTGAACCTTTTGCAACATGTTGACGTTGTAATAGAAGGAGGGAGGAAACTCGGTAGTACTCGTCTGTTGCTGCTGCTGAGACTTGTCCTCCTTCTTATCCGATGTGACATACATCTGCTGAGTCTGCTGCTGCTGCTGCTGCTGCGTCTGCTGACCCTGCGCAGCAGCTTGCTGCTGAATCTGCTGTGGGTCAAACATTGCTGTTTGCTGCTGTAAAAACAAATCATTTCATATGATTAGAGAGGAGAAACTCTTGAGTTTTTTCTTTTTCATTTGTCATAAAATAATGAATGTACCTGTCTCTGGTCTCCGTAACTCGAATTGCTCTGTTCCGTCTGGGTAAAACTATTAGTTTGCTCCGTTTGAGTAAACATGGAACACTTCAATGGCTGCTCGATTGGTTGACTCTGTTGATCAGAAAGGTATGCGTTAGGCACTCAGATAGAAGGTGCATCAATTATATGAGAAATTATGAATACCTATAGGTATCATATTCTCTTAAACACGAGTCACAATTTAGAGACTGAATACTTGAAAATGAGACATGATCAGCAGTTGATTATTGTGTTCGCAAATGTATACGCTTCCTCGCTTGCCTCACGCGCGACGCATACCTGCTGTATTTGATCAGGACGGGTTGTATTCAACCACACCACGTTGTTGCCATTTGATTCTAGGGCCATTGATGTATTGCCTTTGACCCTGCACAATCAATAGGCGGTCGTTATAAACTGTCGGCTTAAGCGAGAACGTGCGAGGTATGCGAGAAGCAACCGGCAGGAGATCCCTGATCTGAACGGATGGCAACGGGAAGAACAACTACACCCCAGCCGAAAGCAAGGGTGAAGAGGGACACGTTCGAATATAAAGAATACAGGCGCGACGGACGCAGCGGGGGGAAAAAAAAAGTACGATGCCAGGCCTCGTTTAGGCCGTTTGGCGCGCGTGGCAAGAGAAAGACGAAACAGGCGAACGTGATCATGTAATAAACATACTCACGTGTAATAGTCCGACGGACCGCGGGGTTAATAGTCCGGCTGCCGAGCGGTAACCGATGATCCTCTAGTTGCCATGACGGCGGCGGTGGCGGTGGCGGCGCAAGCTGCCGTGCGGCAGGCACCACGAAGGCGACGTCGCGGATACGCGCGGGCGTGCACGTCGCCGTAAGAACACGATGCGGCTCACGTTCAGCATCTACGAGGGAGAAGAATGGTCGGGGAGGGGGGAGGAAAGAGCGCCGCTCTTGCCACACCGTGTTGCGTGCCGCGCGCGCGACGCTCTTATCGCGCTGTTGGAGCCGCGCGCGAGAAATCAATGGCGTTCGATTTCGACAGACGCTTCCTCGGAACGATAGTTTCGCGATGCTAGAGCTGCGTCGTCCGAAATCGCGATGATCTTGTTAGTGTTGGTTTCACCCGCCAACGTTCTGTGTTCCGTTCACTCGTCCGGCTCGTCTCGGTTCGGTTCGGCTCGGGTCCGCTTGGCTTGGCTTGGCTTGGTTTGGCTTGGCTTGGCTCGCCCAACCACGCGCTCGATATACTCCAGCACGCGGTTTGAGCGCGCGCGAACGATCACCTTCGGAATCACACGCTTGTCAACGTCGGCCCGCGCAAATCATGGTCGGCTACGTAGAGCAGCGCGGTGGCGGTTGCGGCGAATGTGAGTACGAAACGCGCGGCCGCTGCCGCTCCTTCTTCGTCGCGTACGTCGTTTCCTCTTTGTCGCTCCCTTTCGCCCGCTCTGTCCCGCTTCCTCGCTCGTTCACCTCGCTCGCTCGCACTTTGTCCGCACCTCGTTCGGCGGCGATGGCGATCGCATAAAAACCGTCGTACGCGATGTTTCGCGGCTGGATGAGGCTCGCGGCGTTATCCGTCGTACAGGATAGGCCGGGATGCGATATGGCGTACCTTACGACGCGTTAACGAATGCTCACGGTGGCCATTACGCGCGACGAGGACAACAATGGGCGACACGGAACGCGCGCTGCCTCCCCTCCCCCGCTGCGTTCGGGTCCCCCCCTCTCTCTTCCTCTGTCGTGGCGGTGACTCTTTCCGAAGCGTTTGCGGGCGCCTGCCGTTGACGCAGCCGTTTGCTCCCGTCAAGGTCACTGCGCGGCAACGCATGCGCGCCGCGATGCGCGCGCTAATTGGCGCGCTAGCCGAGCGCAGCCGAACGGCACCCAGCGAGTGGCGGCGAGATGCTGCGTTCACGGAGCGTCTTCTATTCTTCTCTTCACGGCACTTTACGGCTCGTTCAGGCTCGTTCGTCCCTTTCTTCCGGTCGTACCACGCCGCGTCGCGTCGCGTTGCACCTTCTACAATCTTCTGCACTGTGAAATGTGAATGGACCGAGCATGCGTTCGCGACTTGGAACTCTCGGAAGCGCGAGAGAGAAAAAATGAGAAGAAATAGAGACTGCGGAATCTGCAGATGGAAAGAACGGACTTTTCTTTAGCTTCGTGGACAGCTCCGATATTGCGCGAAGTGTTGAATCTTTTCCTTTCAATTACACTTTTTGTACCTGCGGTTGCCTTTTTTAATCGAATACGCGACTATTTCAAGTTTTCGATAAATTTATTCAGTTGAGTAATAATTGAACTTTGCGCACTTTCTTTCAAATAGCTGTTTAATTATGTTTCTTTGTATTAATTGCTGTCGCTAAGTGGCTAAGTTTAGTACTGTAGTTGTAATTGGAAGATTCGTTAATAGATGACGTTACTTTTCCGCTATTTTGCTCGTTTCCATTTTGTGACCACGAAGAGAAAAGCTTATATATTTTTCATAATAAAATTATTTCCATACGATAATTTACACTCTATTTTATTTTTTTATTTGTACCTGTTGGAACTGGTCGCGTCAATATACGTCAATATCGAATGGTTGATGTAGAATATTTCGAACAGCCCAACAGCGGACAACGAATATTGAATATTCGAAACAAACGTTCAATAGACATCATCGATGTTTACTGGACGTTTAGATGTCGAATGGACATCGCTGCTGTTTAAGTTATTTGATCATTTTTGTTACCTTCAACATTATAATTTTTTTATGTTAATTGACCAGTTGCGAATATTATGAGATTTCTATTGTTTTCAGTCAGCTCTATTTACATCGAATAGATTATGCAAATATGTACTTTTGGACTTATTTGCTTCAATTTTATGTAAAATTGCTTTAAAGACAATAGAAATTTAATTTTATAAAAATATTCGCTATAATTGCTAAATTTAGTTTATTTGTAGAGTAGATATTATATGTTGAGTTAAAATATCATGCGAAAAGTCAAATTTAATTGTAATTATTTTTTGAAAGACGCTATCGAGTCTTTTATTTATTCAAAACGAATCTGAAATTTTTTTACTGATAATTATAATTTTTTATTGTGTTGAGAAAAAAATATTCAATCTCTCAATGTATCTTTACGTTAATTTTTCCATATCTTATAATTTTAATTATATAATAGAAGTAATTAGTCGCGCAATTGCAGCCAAATTAGTTGAACTAAAAAAATTTGATTACTGCCATTTGACTTTTGAGGCGTAATTGTGTCACGCTGCTAAACGCGTTATTTTTGTCGCGGAGGCAATGACACTACTTTTTCTCTTTAGCTAATGTTACTTTTAAAAGGTGCAATTATTTTGGTCGTGTACGGTTCATTTTTTTTTAAATTTTTCTCATTAAATGTAATATAAATCTTCAAAAATCGAAATATTTATTCATATGTATATTATAAATTGTCTAGCTTATAAATTGTCTGGTTGCTCGTTCTGAGCTAGATATATTAAACTAGCGCGAAAAACATGCACTTATAAATAGATGTTCTGATGCTCGACGCGATGCAATCGGATGAGACGTACTTTTTGAGTCACCCGTTATTTCAAGAAGTAATTCTTTGTCCTGGCATATGTCGTCAAGGTGGAGAAAAATATCTCTGAAGATTATTTTTATACAAAATTGCGTCTACAACACATAATTAGATTAAATTAGATTCTAGAAACATTTCTCGATCTTAAAATCAATCAACTAAATTAAATGAATAACAGATATTTTTTTCTTTAAGAAACATCTTCCTGAAACAGAAAAAAAAACAGGAAAAAAATAGTTTAATAAATTTTAGCTAATTAACAATTAATTTGTATTTGTTGTTTGTAATTTATACTCTCGTAATAAACAGTTTAGATCTAAATTAACAAATAATTGATTTAGACTGATTGTTATTTGGATCAAATTTTTCAGATATATTAACATCCAATTCATTCTAAATTTTAATATCTAAGTAATAGGATAATTCAGTGAATTAATAATGCCTGATTGTAAGTATTGAAGACTCTCGTTTGTTTTACAATCATAATTTCTAAATATTTATATAGTCATAATATCTAAACGTTCGGCATTCTAAAGATTCTTTATCTCTTTATTTCTATATTATTGCTTTTGCTTTGAGCACATAATGAATAGAAACAATAATAAAGTAGTAGAAACAAGTGATAATAAAGCATGCGTGAATTTTATAACTGTCTGACTATAATTTCATATTTTTACTATCATGAAGCGAAAATATGCATCGAGTGCACTTGCTCCAATATTTTTTACTTTACACAGTTACAGTCGTATATAAAGCTCTCATGTGCTGAATATTTTTTTACACATATTTATTTTCGTTTCTCGTTCAAGTTTTCGATTTGACGCGAAGGCACAGTCAAAAGAAAAAAGCTCATGTCTTCAAAATAAGACATTATGTGTATACAGGCAAAAACATTCAATTTTTACCTGTTTCTTTTTATTTAGTCTTATATAATTTTATTTATTTCGTGTAATAAATTAGGACATATTTCGTGGTGTATCGACATATCGCACGTATTGTAACAGTGCCTTAATTATATAAATATTTAAATATTACATTGAAGAATTACTAATATTTCATACGGTATTCATTCCTATCACATTATTTTTAGCAACATTTGAAGTTTTATGGGACAACTTATGCAATTGAAACATAATATATTTTATGTCGAATGTATGTGCTATAAAAAATATTTCTTTTGAATTAAATAATATAATAAATTTTAGATTAATTACTTAACAAAATATATAAGTATTTATGTATATAAGTTATGTATATAAGTAGCTATCCGAGTAGAAATGTGATCAGGCATGCCTTGTATACGGTTCCTGATCAGTTATGAATAAGCCATACTTGACTGCGGCATGCCAGATCAGTATCTTTATAGGACCTTTTTATTTTACCTTCAAAATTAATTTTGAAAAGCAATTAGGCATACCTGATGGCTTGATATGGTATCAGTCAGGATCTTCTCAAGTTTGCCTTAAAATTTTACAATCTCAGCTGTAAATAAAGTAAGAATCAAAACCTTTTTGAATTTTTTTTAACATAAATTTTGAAGATTTCACTCTGTCTTAAAAGATCCATATGATAATCTTTCTCAATTTTCTCTAACATATATTATTATATGTTATTATAAAAGTTATTATATATGTTATTATTATGTTATTATAAGTTATTATTATTTTAATCTCTCAGTTAACTGTAATCTTATAACATCCATAGATTGGATATAAAAAAATCTTAGTTGTAAATAAATAATAAATATTAAAAATATGAAATTGATATAGTAACTTGATCATACAGAGCCTAGATCATACTCTGCCTGATAGTAGTATTATGCCTTATCATACACTGAAAATCCAATTTGATTGTATTAACTAATCTCTTGTTTCGATATAGGCAAAATCCTTGATTGATACAATTTTACTTATTTCTACCAAAAACAAGTAAAATGTTACAATAATCAAATTTTTTGCTCAAATTATTTAACTGCATCAATCAAGGATTTGTTTGCCCATATCGAAACAAGGAATTATAGTTGATTCAATGAAATGGGATTCTCAGTGATATAAGGACATAAGAACCTTTTTTTTTCTTGATAGTATATCTGAATGTTATAAATAATAGATAAAAATAATAAGAAATTAATAGAATAATAAAAAATATATTTCTATCATATATTATAATATTTCAGAATATAAAAAATAATAAATTCATATCAATTTAACTTTGAAAGAGTCCCCATGAATCAATCTAATATGATTCTTTCTAGGTAAATGAAATCCGGTCCTATACACATGTAATGTGTGATCTTATCAGGACTAGATTATGTTATATTACGGCATCCCTGATTCGGACCTGCTCAGTTATGTAGTAAAATTCCTACTCGAGTAGATCAGCACGTGTGTTTAAATAAATTTTATAATTATATAAATTCTCAACTGAATAACAGTAACCCAATTTCAGTTTGTATCTAAAATGTGTATGTATTTTTTAAGAGCTCTATATACATTTACGTGAATGTAATGATAAAGTCATGTTTATCTATCAAGTAATATTCTATAAAATCCTTGTATATTACATTCGAACGATTTTTCCAATAAAACTAAACTTCTGATAAATTTCTTTCGTTTTCTTTCGTAGCTGTTAGAGATAAAAGAACAAAAGCAAGGTGGGAATAATATACAATGTGTGTTGAGACTATAAATCAGTAAAAAGAATTTCTGTTGTAACTTAAGAGAAAGTAATAAATAAAAAATAATAAAATAATAATAAATAAAAAATAAATAGAAAGGATAAGTAAAAGAAATAAATACAGTAAAAGTAATAAATAAAAATCATAAGAAATTAATATAATAATAACAAATATATTTTTATCATATATTATAAAATTTTAGAATATAAAAAATATAAATTCATATCAATTTAACTTTAAAATGTACTTATCGAAACAAATAAAAATAAATATTTTTTTTAAATTAAAAATGCTAATAGAGAAAGTATATTGTGGAAAATTAATTTTAGCCTCGATCAGAAATTAAAGTAGAATATTTTGCGAACATCCGTGACGCTAGTAAAATAATTGAGAAATAATAGAAATGTTCATCAAGGTGTACGGAAAGTCCAAGAAA